AAAAACAGGTTGAATGAATGAATAATGCTAGCAACGTTACAAGCTAATGGTAGCAACTCTACAAGCTAAATTTAACAAACCTACAAACTAGCGGCAAAAATTAGTAAAAACAAAACAAACTTGGCTGTAGAACATATTTTTGGTTACTAGTCTGTTGTCAGGTATAAAACCAGTGCTGGTGAAAGATACTACACGATGCTACGACTGTTCAGCTTTGGCTAATTATAAACACGTTTTTATTTAATTCTTCATAATCTAATAATGTTACATCCACTACGCCTAGTTTGCACCCTTCGTATAGTTTAGTATATTCTAATTAAGTAATTAACATTGTTCATGTAAAAAAATTAAACAACTCTCAAATTACATTCAAACTTCTGATAAAATAAATGTCTGTGTCCAAATTCACCAGGACTAACTGAAAATGATCAAATTCAGAGCTCACAGGGTTTCTACTGCAGGGAAAACAAAACAGTTATATTTATTAACCTTTATTTAACCAGGCAAATAAAGATCACAGATCTCTTTTGCAAGGGAGGCCTGGACCGGTTATAGCTGTAGCTGTACTGAAATATAAGTACGGCAAAAATAAAATGTGCAATGCTCATTTATGAAGACCTGAAATCCTCTGAGCTCTAAATGGATAACACAATAAATAACAACAGAAAAAGGTCAATCAGGTCACTCCAAGAACAGATTTAAAGCTGCTTTTTGAACTGTGACAGTCCCAACAGAAGATGGACACTACGTAGTACAAAACAGAATACATTCAAATCAATTTAGCAGCAAATATTGAAAGAAAAATCGAATATTTAACTCTCACAGTTCAACCAGTTGAAAAAGCATCAGCAGCGAGTACAAAGTGAACACTGAAGAGCCCAGAATCACAACGTTCAAATCCTCTTAAACTTCAGGATGAGCATTATAATGACGTGAGTTTAAAGGTTGCAAAGAAAATCAGAGTAAGAATCGTCCTTTTTAAAACGAGATGATGATGATGATTTTATGATTGATGGGATGGTGTAAAGAAGAAGAAAGAAAATCTGTCGCAGATCTCATGCTGTGGAGGGGAAACGGCTTCTGCTTGTTACACGTGTGAATGTGAAGAGGCGCATGCGGGGTTTTTATTTTTGTGTTTTGCTGCTGTAAGCCAGCTGTCTAACGTCAGAAAATGTGTCGCCCCTCGGGGGATGTAAGGCAACGCCGAGGTATGAGCTCACTGATAAATGAAGACGATGCAATAATGCAGGAAGGAAAGCGTCATGTGCTGCCTTGTTAATGGATGATGATCCTGACATTATGATGTTACTTGTGGTTAAAAAGAGGCAAAGAAAGAAAGCAAAATGGAAACTTTTAGTCGTTTAATAAAAATAAGAAAAGAAAGGAATGCCCAGTTTACACAATAAAAGCACAAAGCATGCAGTGATTATAGGAACTGATTGATGGGAGGATTAAAGTTCAAAATGATGGATGAGTACTTACTCTGTATTGCTCTGAACCTTGATATTTCCCCCCCATCCTCCTTACCCACAGCCCTCATTTGCTTGCTGATGGCTTGGCAGATTTCTTTGCCGGCCGCAATTTGGGCTTTCTCTCCGAGCAGTCCCCCCAGGGTGGCGCGCAGCATGAAGGAGACACAGCGGCGCGAGTACACCGCCTCGACGTGCGTCTGCGTGGCCCGCGGGTGAGACACCAGGTCCAAAACGTGGGACAGGAATGTGGCGAAGTTGCGTTCGAGCCACTGACCGCCGAGCGTTGTGACGAACACGACGTAAGCCTGGAGGAGAAAAAAAAAGGCAGGAAAATGTGTCAGTTGGGTTCAACAAGAAAACACCGGCTGAAACATCTTCAACGTGTCCGACAACACAGCTCACCTGTGTGACACCCACTCGCACCTCCCTGCTCACAGAGCCGCCCCCCTTTAACATCTCCCCTCCGCTCTTCAGGAAGCCGGATCCGCCACGGAGGAACCCCGTGGCCATCAGCTCCAGAACCTCATTCAGGGTCGCCCGCTTCACATTCTGACGCATCACTGCGGGGAGGGGGAGTTTGAAGATGTGAAGAAGAAAAGACGCGAGGAGCGGCTCGTTTCAAGCGATCGAATTCACCGACCTGCTGCTTGTTTGGGCATGAGGGCGGTGGCCATGACGGTACCCAGGAGTTTGGCCACCGCTACCCGAACCCCGTAGTTGGATCCTTCCAAGGCTTTGAAACACAACGTGGCCATGTTCTCCAGCTCTGTTGTCCACATGAACACCGCCTCGTTCTGCAGCTCCAACAGGCACTGATCAGAAAACAAACAGTGAATTTCAACTTCAAGCTCGCGTCACCTGCAGCGCTGCAAAAACACAACGAGCACAACATTTATCTTATATAGTTATATGCGTGTTTGTTGGAACAACAAAAGTATATTTAAGTTCATTCAAACATGCTTAACATCTTTTGAACTACAGTAGTCTCTCGCTACTTCGCCGTTCGTTTTTCACAGACTTGCTCCGTCGTGGTTTTTTCAAAGTAAAATTGGACATGACACACAATGGCTGATTGATAGATGAGTCGCACGATCGGCATGGAATTGTTATTTCAAATAAATTATTTTAAATGATTTAGCAACTGCGTGCAGCCCACAGCTGTGGGAGAATCTTCCTCCTGCAGCTGATCTCCGTGCAGAGCGGAGAAGTGGGCGTGGCCAAGAGTGCAGCCGCATTCTGTGCTCTTTTAAAGCGTTTAGAAAAATTGTTTAGAACAGGGGTCTGCAATCTTTACGATCAAAAGAGCCGTTTTTCACCTTCATTCACTGCATTTAACGTGTTCCGAGCTGTAGAAACCTGCTACAACTTTGGTTATTAACTGGTGTCCGTAACCACAGCCCTCTGAGTGGAGCAGAAAGCTGTTCTCTAGGGAGCACGGGGGGGGCAGATGGTGGGGGTTAAAGGCCTTGCTCAAGAGCCCAGAGTGGGGCAAATGATGATGGAGACAGGTGAGGGTGTATCACCTTTCCCACCCACATTTTGACGTTGTCTGTTCATGGAGTTGAACCATCGACCTTCCGATCACCGGCCCACCTTCTCTAACCTCTACGCCACCACTCCCCTTTGTTTCACCAATATTCCTGCTTTTACACCTTTTTCAGACACATACCTTAGCTACTGCACAGCGTACAGCCATAGATCTGTCGGTGAGCAAAGAGCGAGCGTTTTTGTAGATGTCTCTGTGACATGAAGCTGCAGCTCCACCCAGTCCACTCAACACCTTCTGCAAGCTGAGGAGGATCTCTCCTCTACCTTGGGACTACAACAGCAAAACCAAACTGAAGATAAAAAGGAACCCTTTGACTCAACAAGCTGTTAAAGGAACGGGTCCAACTCCTACCTCTGCACTCTTTAGAGCCTTCATTAGATTATTAATCGTGTCTGGAAAGGAGCTTCCCAACATCCTGCCCATCTTCTCATAAAAAGCTCCGACACATGCCACCGCAGCGCTGCAGGAGAGGAGATTACATTAACTTAAGCAAACACAAAAATTCCATATAATTACAATAAAACTTTAAAATGTACGTTTCCAAAACAGCTTCTATGACTGCGTTTCTGACATTCATTAGTTTGTACTGGCAGCATTTTGAAAGGTTTTCATTTTACTTAGAGCTGAGGAAAACAAACCATGACTGTGTGTTAGATGTATCCTGCAAATTATTTAAATGTATCCAGAAACAGGCAGGATGGAAACCTGCAGGGCGGCACCGATTCAGATTCCACTAATGACAGAAAAAAAGCAGCATAATCCCATGTCATATAAACTTAATCCTCCTTTTTAGATGTGAAATGCCATGCTGCAGATTAACGTGTGGCTCAGCTCCTAACGCCTCTAAAGATGAGGACTAACGTTTTGAAAGCCGCAGCTTAAAACTTTATAAACAGAATCTGAACATGGGGATCGACCGTGACTAAATGTGCACAGAGAAGTGAGATCTTACAGTTTTGTTGGCAAGTACGCAGGAGTGTCATCCTTGCTTTTAATGATCTCGTTGCACTTATCCAGAGTCTGGAAAACAGTGAAGGTGTCACCGATGCTGTAGAGAGCGGCCAGGTTTTTGGCCAGAAGTTTTCTGGTCGGTGGACCCGGGGAACTGCTGATGAGTCCCGTCAACTGCTCCACCAGCTTCTTCTGCTTCTCCTTCACGTCCACCTGCCACGCAGAGCACAAAACAAAGTCACAAAAGGCTTCTCGAGAGGCAACCTGGCTAAACAGCAACGCAGAGGTTTGGTATGAACCTTATTTGCTGCCACGAGCACTTTATCCAGGAAGCGAAGCCATTCGAAGATGAAGACGGGCCTCTTCGCTTCAGTGATCTGAGCCAAAGCGTCTTCGTTGAGCAGCAGACTGTGGGCCAGCTCCATGATGACGAGGATCCGTCAACAGCCTCGTCTCTTCTGTTAAATAAGAAAGAAAGTGCTTCTTATTCTCAGGCTCTCGGAACAACAGCTTCACTCGACATCTGGCGTCATCTACCAAACTTTAAAGTGGAGTCAGAAACACTCAGCTTTAACTGTGTGTCGCAGAAGTTTCAGAAAAGTCTAAATCGACACTGTGGCATTAGCACTCGGTTGTTTTGTGTTGACAGCCGCCGACAACCTCCAGCTGGTCAGTTAGCTTCTAGCTAGTTCCTTCAGGAACAAGCTGAACTCTCGCGACGCTTTCTCACAAAAAACGAGCTTTTAGCTTTATGGTTTGTGTTTCTTACAACTCGCGACTATTCTATAAAACACACCGGAAAAAAATATACTCAAAACACAAATAACAAAGGAATAGAAATTACTCGTATTACCTGCGTTTCGATATCCCGAGAGGATGTCTGTGGGATGAATGACGACGAGAGGCGAGTGTCGCTTGGAAAAGTTTCCGATGCGAAACCAATCGCTAAATTATGACTTTTTAGATTTTTTTTTTTAAATAACACTCATCTCACAATGTAAGTTACATGTTGAGTAATTTTTAATGGAATATATGCATAAAAAACTATTTGCTTTCAGTAAATAATTGCATTTATCATACGTGTTGACGCCAACGGAACTTTTGTTTCACAGCCTCGCAGCTACTCGGAGGAATTCTGCGAGCGAACCAAACAAAAGAGAAGCGAACCTTCGTCTGTTGTTTCATTCACGTTTGTGTCCACAATGTCCGACGAAGAGGAGGACTATATGTCTGATGCTTTCCTTAATAAAATGTGAGTGGTTTTTATTTGTATTGAAACAAGAAAATAATAATTTAGGAGCACTGCTGCTGATATATCCTCTTTCGTGTTTTTCTCGTACCAACAGTCAAGACGTGAAGCCAGGAGTCAACATGGTGAGGAGGGTAAAGGCGGCAATTAAGAGAGAGGAGAAACACAAAGAAAAGAACATTCAGAACCGCCAGAAAACCTTCAAGGAGCAGGAGAAAGAAAGCCGGGAAGCAGCTTTACAGACCTCCATCAGCAATGACAACAAGGGCTTTGCACTTCTTCAAAAGATGGGCTATAAAGTTGGCCAAGGCCTTGGAAGGGAGGGTAAGGTCATTTTTCTTTGCTCAGTAATCATGTTTATAAAGTATGTTTACTTTGCACCTATATGATCAGTAATGCAAAATACTGTTTCCTTTTCAGGGGCTGGAAGGGTTGACCCAATTCCACTAAATGTAAAAGCAAGTATGTGACACGGCGTTTGTTTGACAGGTTCATAACAAATGAGGGTTTGCTTACCTTTTTGTTGATAACTTAACAGACAGAGAGGGTTTTGGAATGGAAGAGCTGAAGAAAAGAAAAGCAGAGGAGGATCTTAACCGTCATCGTCAGAAAGTGCGAGCCAGTCAACAGAATGAGGCCAAGTCTCTGGAGGACTTCAGGTGATGTTTGCAGCAGCCTACGAGATACGCAGAACCCCTGGAGATGTTTTTCCCTTTATGAAACTAACATTTAATTGTTTGTAAAACAAAATTGTTTCAGGTCAAGAGTGAGGACGGAGAGAGAGGAGCGAAAGATCGACGCCGACCTGAGGAGGAGTCAGCGGTCCTGTGAGCAGCTTGACAACCAGAAGGTTGGAAACATTTTGAGCGCAGCGTGAAATCATCCGTACTTCATATTGTGATGCTGAAAATAAAATGTAATGATAATGCAAAGGAAAGTCTTCAGCCCACAACTGAGGGGTGTTTTTGTGTCAGGGGATCACCGTGCCCAGAGAGCCCTGGTACTGGCCCAAAGTCGAAGCTGACAATGAGGACGATGCTGCTGAAGAAGAGGATGAAGACGAGGAAGTCGTGGAACTAACTGTCAGTATTCACGTTAGGTTGTGTGTTTCTAAATATTTATTAGTTTACCTCTACAGTAGCTGTTATATTAGCGTGAAAACATTTTTGAGCATTCAGTACAGATTTACATAAAACACATGTGGTAATAAAGTGTTTGATTTAACTAGATGGTGGATCATCGTGTGTAATATTTAGGAATATTTGGTTTGTGCTTCTTGTCTTACAGTCCTTTGATAAACTTCAAATTTTAACATCCTATTTAAGAGGAATCCACTTTTACTGCCTGTGGTGCGGGACTGCCTATAATGGTAAGAGTGGCAAAAATATGCAAGTATTTTTGTCCCTTTTTTTTTTTTCTCATATTTTGTTTTTTCCTCAGATGAAGAGGATTTATGCTCCAACTGTCCAGGAGACACGGCTGCAGACCACGAATGATTTTGACAGAAGGAAAATCATTAGTTCTTTACATAAATGTGGATATTCTCTAAATAATATCTGTGTAAGCCAGTGTAAAAAATGAAATTTCTGTAACAATCAGTCTCAGTGGGTTATGTACTTTAAAGACAAATAAGGTTAATTTAATGCTAAGTTTAAATATGTTTATTAAATAATGTCACTTTTTATTTTTGTGGTATCATTTTCTGTTTTTCAAGTTTTAAAAATGTAAGTAACTAAAAATACATTGACATGTTTATATTTGACAATGTGACATGTTACAACATATATGTAGGTTTTACATAAATGTTTTCAAAGCAGACAGACTGTTACATTTGCTGTTTTAGTTTTTTTGTACTCTGTGGAATTTTTTTTCTTTGGTTATTTGAAAAAAAATGAATGTTTTCTTTTGCTCAGTACGTTGCTTGGGTCTTACAGTAAACATTTCCTAATTTAATCTTGTTTCATTGTGTAGCATACAGTAGCTTTAAATCCACAGCTCCTATGCACAGAGAGAGACAGTATTCTACAGCTTCTTGCAAGATACAATAAGTAACAGTTTGAGCTTTTTCTGCTGATAAATATCAGTTTTGGCCGTTTGTATCTTCCTGAAACTGGAGTCATCCTGCATGATGAGTGTGCTTCATGTCTGATCCCGTAGAAGTGATTAATGACGTAACAGATTTATTTGTTTACTTTATTTTGCCACATGTCGGATATCAACAGTAAACTGCTGCATTTATGCATTAATTTATGCACAAATGTTTACACTGCGCTCAAAATTGTGAGTTTCTTGTCAACAAAATTATCTTCTAAAATGAGTTTAAGATAAAGGACAACTTGTTAGGACATTTTGGTGTATTATACAATTCCTATTAGCCTGCATAAATGCTGACAATGTCATTCCTTAACTATGCTAATTGGTGTAACATGTTACTGTGGAAGACTATTTCCATCACTTACTTTTGTAAAATTCTCAGCCATGTTTATGAGATACTATCTAAAATTATAACTTAAAATCTCATAATTTTGACTAAGCTTCTCATACTTATGAAATACTAAATAATTTTGTGACACTAAGGCAATTTTAATATAGCATTTTGTAATTTTGAGATGCTACTATATATTATAGTTCTGAAGTCCAATGTAATAATTTTAAAATACTAAGTAATAACTTTGAGAATTCATTCAACCTTTATTTAAACAGGTTAGTCTCATTGAGCCACGAGGACTCGTTTACAAGAGCGACCTTAATTTTAACAAAGAGTGATGACAACAATAGACAATCAAAGGATGTGTACAAATTTTAAAAAATATTTTTTAACAAGTAAAAATAAAATGGTAATTAAAAGTATAATTACATCTAAATAATGAGATTACCAGTAGTAATGCTAAATGAGATGATGGGAAAAAAAATGCATAGATTTGAGGGATTAAGTCAAAATTGGCATGCTAAATCGCAATTTTGAGAAAGTGTTTCATAAATATGGATTGCAAAGTCATATAATAATAATGTGTATGTATTGACATCGTCGTCACTGTATGTTCTCATACAATGGCGAAATTGGCTCTGCATTTAACCACCAGGTGGCGCAGTGGGCAGCTATTTTTTTCATTCAACCTTTATTTAGACAGGTTAATCCCATTGAGCCTCTGGGACTCATTTACAAGAGAGACCTGGATTTTAACAAGGAGTGGTGACAACAGTGGACAACAACAACAATAGACAATCGTAAAAGATGCATACAATTTTTTTTAACAAGTTAAAATAAAATGGCAACCAAAAGGAAACGTAGTAAAAAAAACAGCTAGATTGTAAGGCGGTGTAGAAACTAAAAACAGGAACATATCTGTATTGGTTTTTGCCATGCAGACATGTTCCTGTTTTTAGTTTTATTTAAGGCGCCTGGGGAGCACATGGGGATAGGATGTCCTGCTCAGAGACACCACGAGATGTTCAATGACCGGGGATCAGGCCCGCGACCTTCGGGTCCCGAGTCGGCTGCCCTGTCCCTACACCATTTCGGCCCCCTATATTGATGGGATACTAAGTTTTAATTCTGAGTAATATCTTCTAAATATGAAATACTAGGTCAGAATTTTGAGACACCAAGTCTAGATTTTGAAATAGTATTTTATAAATTTGCGATACTAAGTCATAAATATGAATCGCTAAGTCACAATTTTGAGATGCTAAATTTTGCAATGCTAAGTTGTACTTTTGGAAAACTTAGTCGTATTTTGAGATAGAATCTTATTAATATGAGATGCGAAGTCATACATGCGATATTATGCTAAGTAAATTTTGGGGATGCTAAACGATCTTTTTGTTTTTACATCAGAAGTCGTAACTTTATGTTCTAATACTGAGATAAGTTTTAATTTTGAGATTGGATCTCATTATAATGACCAAGAGGGTTTTTTTTCCTTAATGGCAGTAATGAGGTTCCATACTAATTTAAACTATAAACCTAATTCTGAAAACCAACAAAGTCCATGCTCAATAATCCAGGTATACAATCCAACAGTTCATATCAGACGAGTTAGGTAAAAAAAATAAAGCAAACGTCTATATGTAGAAAACGAGCACATTTTTACTATACGCTACACACCCGAGCAACAATGTAAAAATTTTAAATTGCGAAACCTTTTTTGATTATCAGGCAGTCAGCATCTGATATTTCAGACTGCAATTGAAGGCAACACGGGGCGTTTAAGGGGCGGACGTGAAAGCCTCGGACGTGAAAGCTGAAACGCGAACTTCTTACATGTTTGCGAGTCTCTTTCTTTAATTTTCATCATATTTCAGAAGGAATTCAGCCGTTTTAATGATGGCATCGGAAAACTACGTAGCCAAGCTGAACCTTTATGCGCAAACAACTCGGGTAATGGTGTCGTACGAGGAGGTTGGATCTGTTGGGCCTGACCACATCAAAACGTGAGTTGAACAGATGGCATTTGAACGCACCTGGCGCTATCTAGGTCAACGACACTTCCGCATTTAGGAAGTAGTTTCTGTCCAGTTTAGTGGATGTGTCACCAAGTCCTCGCACACAGTATGACGTTTATTTTGTACGATCAGCACTTATATGTGGACCTTATACAGTAATTATTGATTATCTGTGGTCGGGTTGAGGAAACGGTCCAGGAAAGAAACCAGACCTCCCTCTCCCCAGTGAGACCCTCCACTTCAGCTCCTCCTGCAGGACTTCAAGGTGTTCCCAGACCAGAGAGGAGCTATAATCCCTCCAGAGAGTTCTGGGTCTGCCCTGGGGTCTCTTCCCAGTGGGACGTGCCTGGAAGACCTCCAAATGGAGGCGTCCCAATCAGATGAACCACCTCAACTGACTCCTTTCCATCCAGAGGAGCTGACCCAACCCCCGTCTCTAACCGAACCCAGCCACCCAGTGAAGGAAGCTCATTTCATTTTGTCCACTTTTTTTGATCATGATTCAATTCTGTTTATACGGCGCCAAACCTCATGAACATACGAGTGCTGGAACGTAGACAAACCAGTAAATGGGCAGCTTTGCCTTTCAGCTCAACTCTTTCTTAATCAACCGGAGCAACGCCCTCATTACTGAGAATGAGGCCTCAATATGTCCATCCATCTCTCACTCCATCCTGCTCAGGAACAATTTGCTTATATACCTAAACTCCGCCACCCCAAGTTTGTTCATCTACAATAAAATGAACGGTCTCATGTTTTATTGTGGTTTCATTTTAATGGAAAAGATTCAGAATAAGAATTGAATATAAAGAACAACATAAAAGTTGCACATTGTTTCGAAAGCGTGTCACCAAGCAGCACCTGACTTGGTGGAGAAACTTTGGTTAAACGTTTCTTGTAGTTGGTCACCAGGTTTGCACTCACCTCAGCAGGGATTTGGACCCACTCCTCTTTACAGTAACACTAATTATTATTATTAATTTTTTTTAGCTGCTGCTAGGCGACTCAAAGCTTCAGCTCTCTCCACAGGTTTTCTCCAGGACCAAGGTCTGGAGAACGGTTAGACCACCCCTTTGTGGCCTTGACTGTGTTTTGTGTCACTGTCATGATGGAGACTCATCAACAACTCGTGTTCTGGCTGAGGGAAAAGGTTCTAGTCCAAGATCTTATGGTACATCTTTGGCCCATCAATGCTATGGTTTCATCCTGTACCTTCAGCTCCAAACCATAATGTTTCCACCTCCGTGTTTGACTCTGGGGATTATTTTCTTCTGGTCACACTCCGCATTTTTTTTGAAGAGAGCTTGATTTTGGTTTTGTCTGGCCACAGCTTTTTCTCCCAT